TACATCTGAGCATCTTGTCATCTAGTGTATCTCCAGCACATCATGGGCTATACAGTCATAGAACAAAGAACAGCATTAATCCCAGCTCATATACCACATTATTGAGCATGTATGCTGAAAATAACCTCAAGTTTTCATCACAGGACTCTGTATTATGCAAATACTCTATCCCCCAAAGAACAGCCCGCAGGCAGTGATTGTGTTATAATTGTGTTTGTTTTCAAAAATTTAGATGGAAAACCTAGCACTTATTTCCCTCTAACTAAAGAGACACCAGGGCATACACCCTTACTTTCATCTCTGCGTATACATCAGCCCACATAAAACCCTCTATGTTGGAGTGCCTCAGAAAAGCAAGGGACACACATGACAGGAAGGGGGTGGTGCTGGGGAGCAGCTTTTCTGGAAAATCCACATTTTACATCAAAATAAATCATTAAAGTAAGCCCTGCTCAGAGCAGCACTAACTTCTGCTCCTTGCTTTCTATTCCCTATTCTACCACTCCATGGAAGTAATAGGGGTGTACAGCGGAGAAGGATGACTACTGGCTAGCTAGGGGGCCATCTGTACCATCAATGCTGAAAGATATAGGCCTGGAAATTACATAGGAAAATAGCATTTTGCAAATACATGCATTACTTTTGCACCTCAAAATATTTTAATCAAAGTTTTGGTTGCTCATGTATTGTGGGTCCCATAACTGCTACTGAATGGTTATGTCATGCAGTTTAGTATGCAAAGCTGTTATTTTTCTTTTCATTTTAAATATGTATATTTTGTAAATCTTCATTTTTAATTACAAAATGGAACCTGCTATATGCTTTATTGTAAGAGAACATTTTGTGTTTTTTATCTCCTGCCTGTCAACTAAATCCTTTCAAATGTGAGGAACTGCTAATCCAAAACTCAATGTATGGATGTGAAGAAATCAAAACCTATGCTGCTAGCAAAAGAAATAGAAATAAGCTATAAGGTATATGCAGTTGTGTTTATAGTAGTGCATAGATTAGATCAACAGCAGGAGTTAATGTTAACAAGGCCTTAGATTGCATATATCCATCATAAAAACCTCCTTGCAGAGAAACAGTGTAGGGGCTGTGTGAAAGTTACTGCAAAGTTCAGAAGACAGTAGAAGAATTGTATCCCAACTGTAATTGTAAAGGTCTGTATCCAGGTTCAGCAAAAGGCAGAAAATATATGTAAAATACAGATATATACTACAGAAGGTATTTGCAGGATAAAATGTAATACACTAAGGAGTACATTCCACACTCTATAATGAAAACCAATATTTAGCATACATCAATAGATTAGCTAGACGGTACCTATTTATATTATTATTCAGATGCCTCAGACAATTAATGCAAGAACTATTTTGAGACAAAGTTAAATTGACAAAATTACGGTACAGCTAACAGCAATATGACACACTAGGATTTTCTGGCATGTAAAGCTCATTTTAACAGATACCAATGTGACATAAATAAAGCTGTCAGGCTTTCTCCAAAGGATAGTCATCCACTTTATGTTTCAAGTGCCAAATTAATTATATTTGACATTTAATTTATAACCTCAGGTATTTTAGATTTAAAACTTGACTATGATAACAGCAGATGAGAGCAGAGTTCCATTTGACAGAATCAATTTTTTTCAAGTTATTTTCATTGAGAGTGAGAGTCTTGATACAAATTTTTGTGCATCAAGCATGAATACAGGACATTGATACCTCTAAGCAAAGTTCACTTCATCATCACCCTCCTCCCCCACCCACCCTGTGGTGAATTATTTTACTTTGGGTAAAGTTTCTTTTGCAGAAGTAATCACAAAGCTCCACCTACTGGATGGATGGAGAATTGTACATGAGAAAAAAGAATTACAATTATTGCCAAACAGCCTTTTTGGTCAAAAGAAAAAAAAACATAAACAATTATGCATCTGTAATGTGTAAAATCTCCTCTTCCAAACACCTGAAACCATTTCCATTGCAGTACAGAGCAAAGAAATTAAAATCAAAACAAAGACTAGAAACAACTATTACAAACCTTTTCATCTGAATTAAATAGGAAGCCCAGTTTTAAAATCGTCACAGATGTAGTGTTTGATATTTACTAATAATGTCTATTTATATGGCTTTCATCCTAAAAGATCCAGAACATTTATAGAATAAACTTACAAAGCAACTGTAAGTAATATATAGGTACATCTTTCGTATATTGTTTATTTTTCAGCTCATGGAGAGTCACGTGTCATTTTTTCCTATGTATTTCAGCATCTGGAACAAGTGACTTTAAAAATATATAGGGATGGACTGTTTAACTGCTGTGCTACAACTTAAACTTTGCATAATTTCCTTGTGTAATTTACTGATACTGTATTGAAATGCTAGTACAGTAGAACATTGGGACACCAAAACCACAGCAGAAATCAACTCTGAAGTTTAAAGGTTTACAGTTAAAACCAGTGTCAAGGTAGAACAATTTTTTCAAATTCATGCACAATTTTATAAAAACAATTTGAACATTGCGTTTTGTCAAAATATGCCTTTGAATTATTTTATTTTTTTTAAAGATGCTTGCCAGGTACATCTTTTTCAGGAAAAGTGAATAGAAGCTATGTATCAGTATAGCAGGACTTCTTAATTCTAATAAATAGGATTCTGTAGGATTGCTACATCTTTTGACTAAAAGGTTGAACCTCTGTAGTCTGGCACCTCAGGACTTGACTGGTGCCAAACTAGAGAATTTGCCAGACCTTGGGAGGTCAACCACAACCTGGGGGCTCTGATGCCAACCCCAGCTTCCCAGCCACCAGCCCTTCGCCTGGAGTCCCAGCTGTCAGTCTCAGGTCTTAGTTGCCAGCCCCAGGGCTCCACAGCCACCCCCAGCTTTGGTCCCAGTGAGGGATCCAGACAGGAGTAAGGGAGAGCGCAGGAAACTTAGCCCCACCCATAATAAGCAAACATCTAGCTAACTAAAATCATGTCAGACCTTGGATGTTGCTGGACACTCAGAGTGTGCCGGACTAGGGATGTGACTAGTCGACTATCTGATAAGCATAAGCTTATTGGATAGTCAACTAGTGATGCAACTAGTCGCTCCTCCCCCCACCCCCACTGCCTCTATCACAGAGAGGCGGAGGGCGGGGAGAGAGCAGAAACCAGTGCCAGCGGGAGCTGTCTTAAAAGCCAGTTCTCCCCAGCGCCATCTCCGTGGGGAACAGGGGAGGTAGAGGCACAGCAGGAAACGGCATGAGTGGAGACTGAAGCAATCTCCGCTCATGCTGCTTCTGTTAAGATTCTGCTTTTGAATCAGGAGTCCCAGGGCTCTTGTACATTTCAAAGTCTCAGGTGTTGCAAGGAGCGCCGGGCTAGCGGGAGTCCACCACTGGCCCCACGTTCCCTATGGAGCTTCCTACAGGGCTCTTGCTACAGTTCAAAGGCAAGGTGCCCTTATAGACTAATCGACTAGTCAATGGAAATTCCATCAACTATTTTATTAGTTAATTCATCTAAATTTAACAACCCTATGCCAGACTAGAGAGATTCAACCTGTATAGCACATATTAGATTCATACAAGATGGTGTTTATGTTGGTCAATGAAACTCTTATGAACAAGATAATCACGTAATTGGCCCAGAAAAGAGTGTGGTCTCATAAAACAAATACAGCACTGAGAAAGCGGCGAGGAGTCCTGTGGCACCTTGTAGACTAACCTAAGTGTTGGAGCATAAGCTTTCGTGGGGAAAGACCCACTTCGTCAATCTCCCTGGACACACAATTGCAGATCTAAAGGTAGCCATCCTGCAGCAAAAAAACTTCAGGACCAGACTGCAAAAAGAAACTGCTGAGCTACGAAGTATCAGAGGGGTAGCCGTCTTAGTCTGAATCTGCAAAAGCGGCGAGGAGTCCTGTGGCACCTTATAGACTAACTGAAGTGTTGGAGCATAAGCTTTAGTGAGCAAACTCACGATTAAACAAAGACTGTGAATGGCTCGCTCACTACAAAAGCAGCTTCTCCTCTCTTGGAATTCACACCTCCAGATCAACTACTAGAAGTGGGCCTCATCCTCCCTGATTGGATCCACCTTGTCATCTCTAGCCTGATTCTGGCCTGCATATTTATACCGGCCTCTGGAAATTTCCACTACATGCATCTCATGAAGTGGGTCTTTTCCCACGAAAGCTTATGCTCCAACACTTCGGTTAGTCTATAAGGTACCACAGGACTCCTCACCACTTTTGCAGATTCATATTAACATGGCTACCCCTCTGATACTTAGCTCTGAGAAAGAAGACTCCTGAGGTTGTATCCTAACAATTATTACATTCCATTGAGAGGCTGCAGTACTTAATTTAATGTACACATTTGATACATGTAACAGACTAAACAAAGTCCTTGCATGGATGGCCTCCTACCCGCCACATCCTAATAACATAAAAAGCCAAGCACAGGGTATTTAAGAGCACTAGTCCCACTCTATCATCTTCATTTAGCATGGACACTCCAATTGACAAATCTTTTCCCCTTTTTGTCCTTCTCCCGCCTCCCCTCTCTTTCTCTGTTATTTATTTGGAAAGGGGACCCCTTCACTCCATTCATCTGAAAAAGGGGAAAGAAGCTGCGTCTGCCAGGCTGCCTGACTAGCAGCCCCTCGTGCTGGGAAACAGGAGACTTAACCCCCCAGGGATTGGCTGCATCACAGACCTCATTTACATACTACGCTCTTTCCTAGCCCCACCTTCTCTTCGCGCACGCCTAAATCAAGTTTCACAGAACGGACTCAGCCCATGGTTCCCTTTGCGCATGCGTTTCACGCCAAAAAAACGTAACACTCTCCCTTCCCCGCCGCATAGCGAGCCTCATTTCTCTCGGCGCAGGCGCAGATTATTATAGCCTTGCGTTCAGCCGTGTCCTATCCCTCCTCCAATAGATGGAGACCTTACTTGAAGGCTGGCGGAGGTGGGACCCCTGCGGCCAATCATGCTGGACTTTGTTAGCTCTGAGAAAGTCGGGTCATTCTTCCTTTCCCGGGCGGCTCGTTTCCAAAGATGGCAGCTGCGGCGGGGCCCGGGCCGGAGACGGAGGAGCTGCTTTTGTTAGAGAAACTCCTGGGCCTGGAGAAAGGGAACAAGTACGGCGCGCGAGAGGAGCGGAAGGTGAAGGAAGCGAGGGGAGACAGTGGGACCGATTCGGGCCTGTTGCGCGCGCCACCAACGGCTCTGTCCTCGCGCCCCTTGTCGCCTCGCGCTCGTGCTTCTCCCGGGGGCGCGCTCCGCAGCGCCGCCACTGGTAGCTTGAGTCCCCAGTTGGAGGCGGCGAGTCTCTGTGTCCTTCTCTCCGCTCACCGGGGGGGGGGGCTAAGCGGGCGCAGGCGAGACGGGCGGGCGGGCTAACAGTCCCCTTCCCCCGGCTGAGCGCAGGGCGGCGATTGGATTGTGGCCCGGTCCGAAGAGATGAAGCCAGTTGAGCTCGTTCACGGCTTCGGGGCGGCCCTCACCGAAGGGCTCTGGGCTGGGCCTTAGGGTCACGGGGCATGTGGGTAACGTGCCCACAGACGGCCCCAGCTGTGGGCCCAAGCGGTCGACCAAGAAACACCCCGTGCTGCAGTGCAGGGTGCGTTCATTTATTGGTTCGACTTTTGCACCTGAAGAAGAGCTCTTTGGCGTTGGAAAGCTTGAGTCTTTCACTAGCAGAAATGGGTCCAGTAATACTACTTCATTTACCTGTTTTCTTTGGTATCCTGGGGCCAACACAACATACTTAATGAAAAGCAGTTTCATAGCTAAACAGGGATGTGGGCTGTCCTATAGCACACTTTTGACCAGTAATGATTGCAAAAGTTGTATAGTTCAGAACCCTTTCCTCCTCCGCCAGAGAGATCTTTGGCCCTCGTAAGTGGCACAACATGTGGCCTTGCAGCAATTCTAGGAGTTGTTAGAAAGTGTGTCCAAAGCACTTTGTCCACTCTGGTAATTGTACAAACTTAAGTATATTTGTAAGATACAACACCCTGAAATAGTCAGATCTGTGCAAAAAAAGACGTATTTCTAGATAAGGAGGTAGAAGCATTAAAATAGTGCTTAACTATGGGACACATCAAATTCTTTGCATCAAATGGCAAGACTGTCACAAATGAGGAGCTTTGGAACAGAGCAGGACAAGAACCACTTGACGTTCAAATCAAGAGAAGAAAGTGGGGATGGCTAGGCCACGTTCTCAGAATACCAACTTCCAGTACAGTCCATTAAGCTCTCACAAGGAAAACGCAAAGAAGGGAGACCTCGGAGAAGATCTACTGAAATTGAAGGACAACAACTGGGGTACTCCTGGAGTCAGCTAGAAGTTTTGTCTGGAGACAGTGAAGTGTAGGAGACTTGTATTCCTAGTGGAGCATAGATCATCAAAGGTTTAGAAGTACAGTAAAACTCCGATGGTCTGGCATCTGATGGTCCGGCACCTGGAAGTGCTCCGGGCAGCCGGACCATTGGAGCTGCTCTGCCCCCAGCTTCCCCGAAAACTACCTTATCCCAGGAGTTAGCAAAACTACCTTATCTTGTTTATGGCAATCTTACAGCCATTGAGATGGAGTGCCACTCAGTAGCCTGCATTGCCCATCACTGATCTAGGTCTTCCTCTTCCCTGGTAGTTACATGATTTGAGAATAGCAGTGGCACCCAAACCCCTTGAAATCTGCATGTGGAGAACTCTACCATGCATTGGCATCCTGGGGGGAGGAGGGGAACATGGCTTACAAATTTTAGCTCCTCCCGCCCCCAAACACACACAATTTTTCTTTGAATCAGTGGCAGGAGTGCATGATATTTTTCAGAACAGTAATACATATGAACTGTGGCAAAGCTCTGGCTATTCCCCATGGGTCTTGTGCTACAGGCAGACAGGCTATGTCTAGACTATGGGGTTTTTCCAGGATACCAGAGGGAAAATTCTGTGAACCGGCAGCATTCCAGCTGCTCTGCTGC